TTCCCGAGCGCTACACAGAAGGATGGCTGGTGGAAAAAGATGGGCGGTAAGCGAGGTTGTAACAAGAGGTCAAAGCGGTTTCACCAATCTTTGGGACGACAAATACCAAGTACGATCTTCAAGCTGTTCAGCTCCTTCCTGGGAAGATACCGATATGATCTGGAGCAGCACGATGAATACGCGTTGTAAGTATATTAGATGATACCACGGAAGAAGCTACTTACGTGTATTGCGTTTAGACGAGTCATCGAGAAAGTGAGTGATGTTTAATTCTCAACTCGTCAACTCGTCAACTTGCTAGATAACCAGTCTGAGGCCTTGGAGCGACAGAGGTTCCTTGATCATGCTTTCAATACAACAACTTTATACCGTGAACGGTATAAAAAACAGACCTTGGTGGCGTACTTCTGACAAAACCTATTCCTGGACTATATCCTCTTCTCAATCAACACAGGTCTTCCAACAATGTGTTCATCTCAGGTTGAAACTTCTCCGCTTTTGACAACAGATTCTACATTTGTCCCACCCATCACAGTAAGCGTGGCAACTCCTTGTTCAACGATGTTGAAGAATGAGACTGACCAATAATCTAGGGCAAGGGTCCTCCATTCATACACTTGTTGTCCACGAATGAGACGCTGCGACTTTTCATGCTCATTGAGCACGATGCTCTCCCGTCGTTCTCCTCAGACCCTCTGTCACTGCTTCCCGAGTGCGCGCACTTAACGAGCTTTGATTCGATACCATCTACGGGCCCTCTGCCCACGCCAGTCTCGCTCAGTCTTGACGCAGCTGAGCAGCAGGCTCTTCACCCTCAATTGAAAGGGGTTCGTCTTGACGCAGGTGTGCGATACATCTGCAATGTTGGATTTCCCACTTTTCAACTTGATGACCCCGACGAGTCTTCCGAAGACGTCTTTATCCGTTGCGAAACAACGGTGAGCATTACTACTAACATCTCCTGGCCACCACATTTAATTCTCGATGAATATGTTTTCAGGATAAAAAGATAAAAAACGAGAATTATACGAAGGGCCAGGAAGATCACCATCCGCAGTCTCCACCCAGCTCTGGGGATGCGGTCCTGTCCTGCTGGGAAACTGGTTCTCAGTTTTCCTATCACGGGTGCGACCTGGAAGCGTTCGGCCCCATCCCTTGCCAACGGTGCCAAAGGGGTTCCTTGACGATTCCTAATCGGGAGCACGATCCGGTCGTGCACCAGCATGATTTCAGGCAATGTTACGCAGCTCAATGGATACGGAATAGCTGTTACGCACCGCGCGTAGGCAATAAGGTCTTGATGCCGGACCTATTGGATATACCCGAGATTAAGGTGAGAGAAGTTGAGGACCTGGAGAAGGTTATGGGAAGAGATAGGTTAGTAACGGGGGTACCAGCAGGATCGTTACTGTTTTCCATGTAAATTTAATCAATGAAGAATGTTTCGGAATTAGTTTTTGAGGATCTGGATGAGGACGAATGGGGAACGTTTTTGAGTGGTCCCAGTGGAGGCTTGAGGAGAGCAACATCTTGAATCCATCGTAGAGGAGAGGAGATGAGATGAGATTGAGATAACAACTTGGGGGGCGTGGGAGTGGGCCGCATGCAAAGTTCAACTTTCGAAATAAAGTTTCAACATTGCTCATCGTAGAAAGATCGAAAAGAACTAATTTCTTATCACGCTTCAAGTTTAGCTGTTCTGTGTTATAAATTCCGCTTTTGAGAGTAAGGTCAGCTAAGGTCAGCTGTACATTTCTATTCTCTGTTATGGACCGTGTAGGCATCCATATACAGAGCGAAGGGAGGGTGAGAGCTGGAAGCCCCCCTGCCAGTGGGTGAGAGACAGAGGATTTGTGATTACTGGGCTGTCATTCGTGTGGCGGCGGTCCTGAGACTTGTAACTACATATGTAAGTCACCGGCTTAGTACATACTTATTTTTTTTCTTTTGGACTGAATGAACTTGGTAGACAGTGATAACGACGAAGGATCGACCGCATGATTGATTGATTTCGGATAGAACAACGATTTCAGAATGAAGAATGAATGAAGATAATCGTTTTGGAAAATGGTATGTAGATGAGAAACTATGAGAAACAATACGGTGACTGGGACTAAGATTTAACAATGCGGCGCGATGTCCTATACATAGCTAGTTTTGCCAACGAGATTGATTGTTGTGATGACCATTCCTCCAACCAACTCCCCCTGGCGGGCCAATGCGAGCCAATGCGAGTTTGAGGACCTTCCGATGCCACAAACTCAAGAACGTACGTACTAGATATCCCCACTAAACATGCTGTGAGCACAGTCGACAATTGTGTATTCCGTTTCCTTCGAGCAATGTGTATTTCCATCGAGCAATGTGTTCCGAGTCGGGTCCCGCATTCGAAGCTTTGTGCCAACCAGGCTAGTTCTCCAGTCGGTGGACCCAGTTGAGGAGTTAACGTCGGTGGTTGTCTTCCCTGTGGCCTGGATGCAACCGAAGGAAGAGAATTAAAGTGGTCACCGATCTGCCAATACGAACATCTCCTGGCCAACCACCACATCTAATTCCCGATACCGATGCTCATGTTTCCAGGATAAAAACATAAAAAACGTGAAGTATACAAAGGGACAAGAAGGTCGCTCAAGGAATAGGAATCCCCTGGTACCTCGAAGGCAGCATCACACATGGCTCGGAATTTTCAACTTGATGACCCCGACGAGTCTTCCAAAGACGTCTTTATCCGTTGCAACTCAACGGTGAGCAGTACTACTAACATCTCCTGGCCACCACATTTAATTCTCGATGATTATGTTTTCAGGATAAAAACGTAAAAAACAAGAATTATATGAAGGGACAGGAAAGTCATCATCCGCAGTCCCCAACTCCCAGCTCCGGGGATGCGGTCCTGTCCTGCTGGGAAACTGGTTCTCAGTTTTCCTATCATAGGTGCGACCTGGAAGCGTTCGGCCCCATCTCTTGCCAGAGGTGCCAAAGGGGTTCCTTGACGGTTCCTAATCGGGAGCACGATCCGATAGTGCGACAGCATGATTTCGGGCAATGTTACGCAGCTCAACGGATACGGAATAGCTGTTACGCACCGCGCGTAGGCAATAAGATCTTGATGCCGGACCTATTGGATATACCCCAGGTTAAGGTGAGAGAAGTTGAGGACCTGGAGAAGGTTATGGGAAGAGATAGGTTAGTAATGGGGGTACCAGCAGGATCGTTACTGTTTTCTACGTAAATTTAATCAATGAAGAATGTTTCTGAATTATTTTTTGAGGATCTGGATGAGGATGAATGGTGAACGTTCGAGTGGTCCCAGTGGAGGCTTGAGGAAAGCAATCATCCGTACTAGAGGAGAGGAGAGGAGATGAGATGAGATTGAGATAACGAGTTGGGGGGCGTGGGAGTGGCCGTATGCAAAGTTCCAAAAATCAAAAGTTTCAACATTGCTCATCATGCAAGATCGAAGAACACTATTTTTTTTGTCACGTTCTATGTTTTCAACCGGTATATCTTGCCTATTTCTCCATGCACCGAGATGCGTCAGGCAGCTTTTTTTACCTTCAATGGCTACTGCTCATAATTACTGAAAGTGCCGCTGTTCTGTGTTACGGATCCCGCTTTCGATAGTGAGGTCAGCTTTCTACTATTCTGGCCGGTGCACACCAAGATTAGGTTCGTTGATGGAAGTACTATGCAGAATACAACCAGACGCCGCTGATGTCAATGAGTGCTTGAGCGCTGAGCGAAGGGGTCAGAAAAAAAAGTGGCATCAATGATTTGATTGATATTCGTATGGCCATCTAATCCACTCTATTGTAAGTCATATCTCTGACTAGTGACTTCGAATACGATCCCCCCGACAATTCCCCTCGGGTCGATCTCATACGTTACGCGTCAACGTTGAGCAACTTCCATCTGATGAGTTTTGTGAGCACCAGTCAAGCTTCAAGAATTGCGTCTATAACTAGTACCAGATATCGTTAAATCCATTTGTCCCTTCTCCTTTGATTCTCGATGCTCATGTTTTCAGGATAAAAACATAAGAAACGAGAATTATACAAAGGGACAGGAAGGTCGCTAAAGGAATCTCCTGGTACCTCGAAGGCAGCATCGGACATGGCTCGGAATTTTCAACTCGAAGACTCCGACGAGGCTTGCGAAGACGTCTTCATCCGTAGCAACTTCACAATCCAGGATAAAAACAGAAACAACGAGTATTACACGCAGGATCAGGGAGGACGTTCTCGGCAATACCTATATCCAGATGTTGCCCTGTCTTGCTGGGGGAACTGGTCCTCAGTTTTCCTATCACATGCGCGTCCCGAGCACGGTCGGCCTCACCCATTTCCAAGGGGGTTTCTTGACAATCCCTCAACGCAAGCACGACCCGATTGTGCACCAGCGTCCGTCCCCGACAGCGTTACGCTTCGTATATATAAGTCTCGACGCCGGAACGACAGGTTGGAATCACCACGGGTTGGATTCAGGAAAGTTGAGGATCTGGTAACGACAGATCATAAATTTGCTTTGGGATTCGTCGCTTTGGGATGCGTCGGGGGACTCGTGATGGGGGGGAGGGGTGCGATGGTGTGGGCGGTGGTGTGGTGGTGGTGCTTGAGAGTGTTGGTGTTGGTGGTTGAGAGTGTTGGTGTTGGTGTTGGGGAAAGGGAGAGGGAGAGGAAGGGGAAGGGGAGGGAGGGGAGGGTAGGGAAACGAAGGTGGAAACGGTCACGGTCGGGATCGAGGGGTAGGATTATGGCGCCGGGACGTTGTCTACTAGAATACGATCTACAAACACATCTTCCCTACTGTTCCGGTACCTGCTCCGGGGTGTTCCCTATGTTATCACTGAGCACACTGACCCCTCCGAATCCTCGAACACCCTCTCGCAGACGTAAATCTCATGCTATCTCATGTATTACACCTGTTGTTACAGTATTTTGTTTGTAGTCCCGATTCCAAAAAAAATGAAAAGATTTTCGAATATGAAGAAAAAGAATTCATGATTCGACCCGGGCTCGAACCGGGGACCTTCTGTGAAACATTGGTGAGGCTCTGGATGTTAGACAGATGCGATAACCAATTACGCCATCGAACCATGGGGAGATAGGTGGTTAAACGTTAGACATTGAATCTCCAGATTAGATGCATACTTGGATACTCGTACCTTCCAAAACCAGCCAGTAGCATCGGCAGTGCTCGTGATAAAAACAAGTTCCCATTCCATTCCGTGATTGGGTGGAAATAAGTTTATAACTGAGTGACTGAACTTGTAAAAAGAGTAACCTGTATCCGAGTTTAGGGATCGTCGACTCCGGAGCCAGAAATTTGGAGTTGTAATGAATGAGTTCAACAGCATGTTATTCAAAGTTAAGCTCTTGATCTGTACATGTAGACGCTCAAGACAAATAATCATGTTAGTCTCGTTCGGAAATTCGAGGTGAGCTTCAAGGACCAGTTATTCTAATATCTACTTTTCTCAAAATTGTTTCTTGGTACTAGTTCTCAGTACCAATTGATTTCAAAAATCATTTTCAACGTCTCGGATGTTCAACTTCATCCAACGAAATCGACTCGACTTAGCTTTGACCACCCCGGAGCAACCTTAAAGGTCCCTCACTCTTCCCAGAAGTGAACTGCCCTTGGACATTGAATGATTGATTCCCAAGATCTTCGACTCTGGTAATGATCGATTGTTCATCCCTAACTCTGGAATCTCTCAAAGCAGCAAAAAAACTGAAGTGCACCGGCACAGGCTTACATACATCACGGGTTAAAGAAATCACCACTGCTTGGGTGAGCGCTAGAAGGCCTCAAGTCGCAATTGAAAAAGTCATCTCAAAGGCGCTGAAAGACCTTGAAAGACTCGGAGGGGGGGGAATAAAGTTTGAACAGTGTGAATGACCGATGATAACTCCGACTATGTGTGAACCTTTGTGAATTCCCTGAGTTTCCGAACACTTCGTAAAGCCGAGATGCGATACTGGATGCAATGTCTGTTATACTGCCAGAACAGGAGGAGGAGGAGGAAGGTACCTATTAAAAGACTTAAAAGGATGCGAACCGTAGTCGATCTGGCTTCAGAACCAACATCAGGAAACACTGAACCGGCTATATTGCCCTGGGCAAGAGTACAATAGCTAATATTGCCCCCCTGCCAAGCTCCATAGTGTTGGTAGCACTAT